CGTTTGCATGTAGTTCTTTTTCTTTCTTCTATAAATAGAAACCAACCAATTCTTATCCCATACAATACAAAAAAAAAAAAAAAAAAAAAACCACACAACCACAACAGACAAACTCAAATTTCTCAACACTTGTATATCATGGATCAAACACCCCATGTAGCTCTTCTACCAAGTCCAGGTATGGGCCATCTCATCCCTTCCATTGAATTTGCCAAGCAACTCGTCCACCACCACCACTTCTCCGCCACCATCCTCATCCCCTCCGCCGCACCACCCACCACAGCCCAAAAAACAGTCCTCCAAAAACTCCCCAAAACCATCCACCACATCTGCCTCCCACCTGTTCAATTACCTGATGACCCCCTCAGTGTTACTTCCCAAATCTCCCTCACAGTCACTCTCTCTCTTCCCTCTATTAAACACACTTTAGCTTCATTATCCACGAGTACCCGGTTGGTTTCTCTCATCGTCGATCCATTCGGCATCGACGCCCAGTGTTAATACTGTCAAAATTAAGGGACCTGTATATTTGTAAAAATTAGTCCAACGAAACTCTAATGCCCCAAATAGCCCAAGTGGCATGGAAGTGGAATGGAGAGGAATATGGCGAAGTCATTGAGATTGAAGAGTAGTTATGATAATTTTATTATTGTATAGAAAAATGGTTTATGATTTTATTTTTCTATTAAATAAAAAATTATAACAATAAGTTATTTATAATTTTTAAAATCATAAGGAATAATTTGTATTTTATGCAAATATTAAGTGATATTTGTAAGTTACCCTGAGGTCATGTTTGTTTGGGCGGACTGGATTAGCATTCCCATGACTAATAGTCCTAGAACTACGAATCCGTTGGATTATGTATCCTATCTTAACTAATAGTCAAGTTTAAAATAATTAGTCTCTACTTCAATTGTTTAACCAAACATCGGATTAATAATTTTATTGGACTATTAGTCCAATCCCAAACTCATGTCCACTCAAACAAACATGGCCTGAGTGTTATAAATTAAAATCTTAAGACAATTCAATGTTATTACTCAAAATTGAGGTACTAGTTGTATTTTTGTAAAAATTCAAGGAGGACAGTGTAATTAATTTTGTTTCAAAAAAAGCCATTTACGAAGTCCAACGAAACCCTAACGCCCCCAAACAGCCCGAGTGGAGTTGCAGCTCAGACAGCGAGAGAGATGGCGAAATCGTTGAGATCGAAGAGAGAGAAGAGGCTGAGAGCTATAAGGAGAGAGATTGTAGAGCCCCTCTACGACAAGAAGGAAGCCGCTAAGCTCGCTGCTCAAGAAGCCGCCCTAGCCGCCCCCAGACTCCCCGTTCGTTCCCACAACCCTAGCGATGCCTCCGCCGCCGCCATGGACCTGACCACCTCAACCGCCGCCACCGCCGCCGGAGGGAACATGGGTACTTCGTTTTCTTGATTTCTTTGAAACCCATTTGTTTTTTATTACAAATTAATGCTTTATTCAGAGTGTCTTTGTGTTGTGCCTTTAAATTTTTGATATAAACATAATCTGACAATGGATGAGCATTTTCTGAATTCAATCTTATGATTTTCTAACTCTTTTTCCTTTAAATGTCCCAACTTTTTGGCAAAATATGATTAAAAAATGGTGAAGAAGAAGGTAGTTAAGCAAGCTTTCGGCTAAGAAGATGTCTTTGTTGTTACATCCTTCATAATACATCTGCTATCACAACAATGGATTTAACAAATGGGTGTTCTCTTTGTTTCTTTAAAACCCAGTTGAGCATATGACAAATTTACTTGCAAAAGATTCTAGATTTTAGTGTAGTATTGGAAATTGGTCTAGAAATTTGACGAATAGGTTTCAGGAGTAAGGTAAAGGGTTTTTGTTATGAAGGAGACAAATGTTGGAAACATAACTGGAAAAGTTTTAGAGTGAAGAGTTGTCCTTGTCTTGTTAACTGGGGATTTCTTGAACATGTGACGGTGTATACAGGGTTTGGGTGGAAATGGAGGAAATAGATGATTTGCAACTTTCTTTACAGTGGGTTGGGACTTTGGAGAAGAATGTAAGTAACATTTGGTGAACCGGGAGAGGGTATCTCTTGGAGAGGGGAGATTGGGGATTTTGCTGGATTTTGATTTTCAACCAAGCCCTTTTATGTAACTAATTTTGAAGATTCTCTTTTGAACACGATAGATATTGGAGAAGGCTAGTGGTAGCAAAGTATGGTTCTATATGGGGTGATTTATCTTTGATGGAGGTTACTGGTCTTAGGGAAAGGCCCTTTGAAGGTATTCATCTAAGTTGAAATGTTTTTGTATTCATACTAGTTTTGTTGTTTGGAATGGTGAAGAGGGTGTGGTTTGGGGTCATCTTTGTGTAGGAAGGGAAAGCTTGAAGAGCTATTTCTCCTTCTTTCTTGAATTGTGGTTTATAAAGAGGCCTAGATAGGTGATTATCTCAAAATTAAAAGTGCTCAAGTTTGTTTTGGATATTGATGTTTGTAGAGAGTTGAATGATTGGGAGTTAGTGGAGCTCCCTGAAAGAAAGATTCTTAAACAAAAAAGGTCAAGAGTCATCAAGGTGGAGGAGATCCAATAATCAGAAGTTTTGAGGTGAAATATTTTTATGAAGCTTTGGTGGGTGGTCAAGGATCTTCCTTTCCTTGGAAAGCGATTTGGGCATCTGAGATGCCTACAAAGGTTGCCTTTGTTTGGTGGACACAGCACATGGAAAAATTCTTACCACTATATTTATAGTCTGTCATCTGTCACATTTGATTAATATATTGATTTTTACTGCTATGTTTACACAGATGTGGAGATGGAGGACGACAATCCAAGCACGCAGTCCTTAAAACCTACCCCTAAAATAGGAAAGAAGTTGAGTAAGAAGATCAAGTTGGCTAAAAAGAAGCATCGCGACGGTTTTGGTAAGGGCAAGATCAGGAGGAAGCACAACGTTTAGTTGTCGAAAACAAAAGTTTATGGCAATGACTTTTTCCTTTTTGCCTTTTTCCTATAGCTATTGTCTTTACGGTTGCAGTAGTTGCTAAGCTAAATATACATTGTGACAACAGCAGTTTGTTGGTTATGAGGTTCCCATCTTTATTTTGATTTTGATTTTGTAGTTTTTTTCTTCTTCTTTTCTTTTTAAGGTTTATGAGCATTATGTTAGTTTCTGAGCATGAATTGTGAATGGCACTTGATGCAACTCAGTGGCCTTTTGATCGAAACAGTTCTTTATTGCTATATGCATGTAGCAATCAATTTCTTTAGGGTAAAGTTATGGAAGGAGGCCAAATGTGGTGTTAAGAGTGTCTCCAACCTTTAATCTTTTGTTTCATCAAATAATCTAGTGCTCCAACGTTAACATCAAATTAAATTTGATGAAAAACGTACAAATCTAGGGCTCTATCAAATTAGCAACACATGGTATATACTTTTATTTCGTTGATACAAAGAAAATGCCTTTATGTTCTATTCTTCACTTACCAGGCGAAGTTATCAAATAAAGCAATACATGCACTTGAATTGTAGTTACACTATGATCATCAAGTGCTTCTATGAATTGTAGTTACACTTGAATTGTAGTTAATAAATGCCTTGTTTGCAGTTACACTATGATCATCAAGTGCTTCTAAACTTACCTAATATTCAAAAGATACAGGAGCCAAAGCCGCTGAATATCTGTTGAGGTAGTTTAGTTACTTGAATTGTACTTTGATCTTTCCTCTGCAGTTGTGAATACTAGATTTTCATGAATCATATGCTTTAGATATGTTGAGAAGTGCAGGTTTTTATAGAACTTTGCCTGAGCTCTAGCTCATCGTTGTATCTGTATGAATTTGGGGGTGCTTTTAATGAACTTCTCAGTTTCTAAATTAGTTGAGTTAGGTCATGCCTTCAAAATTATTTTTTGTCCAAACTAACTAAATCAGGCATATGATGGCATATTGGAAAATGGAAAATGGTTGAAGATTCTCTTTTGAACACGATAGATATTGGAGAAGGCTAGTGCTAGCAAAGTATGGTTCTATATGGGGTGATTTATCTTTGATGGAGGTTACTGGTCTTAGGGAAAGGCCCTTTGAAGGTATTCATCTAAGTTGAAATGTTTTTGTATTCATACTAGTTTTGTTGTTTGGAATGGTGAAGAGGGCGTGGTTTGGGGTCATCTTTGTGTAGGAAGGGAAAGCTTGAAGAGCTATTTCTCCTTCTTTCTTGAATTGTGGTTTATAAAGAGGCCTAGATAAGTGATTATCTCAAAATTAAAAGTGCTCAAGTTTGTTTTGGATATTGATGTTTGTAGAGAGTTGAATGATTGGGAGTTAGTGGAGCTCCCTGAAAGAAAGATTCTTAAACAAAAAAGGTCAAGAGTCATCAAGGTGGAGGAGATCCAATAATCAGAAGTTTTGAGGTGAAATATTTTTATGAAGCTTTGGTGGGTGGTCAACGATCTTCCTTTCCTTGGAAAGCGATTTGGGCATCTGAGATGCCTACAAAGGTTGCCTTTGTTTGGTGGACACAGCACATGGAAAAATTCTTACCACTATATTTAAAGTCTGTCATCTGTCACATTTGATTAATATATTGATTTTTACTGCTATTTTTACACAGATGTGGAGATGGAGGACGACAATCCAAGCACGCAGTCCCTAAAACCTACCCCTAAAATAGGAAAGAAGTTGAGTAAGAAGATCAAGTTGGCTAAAAAGAAGCATCGCGGCGGTTTTGGTAAGGGAAAGATCAGGAGGAAGCACAACGTTTAGTTGTCGAAAACAAAAGTTTATGGCAATGACTTTTTCCTTTTTGCCTTTTTCCTATAGCTATTGTCTTTACGGTTGCAGTAGTTGCTAAGCTAAATATACATTGTGACAACAGCAGTTTGTTAGCTATGAGGTTCCCATCTTTATTTTGATTTTGATTTTGTAGTTTTTTTCTTCTTTTCTTTTTAAGGTTTGTGAGCATTATGTTAGTTTCTGAGCATGAATTGTGAATGGCACTTGATGCAACTCAGTGGCCTTTTGATCGAAACAGTTCTTTATTGCTATATGCATGTAGCAATCAATTTCTTTAGGGTAAAGTTATGGAAGGAGGCCAAATGTGGTGTTAGAGTGTCTCCAACCTTTTATCTTTTGTTTCATGAAATTTAAATTTGATGAAAAACTTACAAATCTAGTGCTCCAACGTTAACATCAAATTAAATTTGATGAAAAACGTACAAATCTAGTGCTCCATCAAATTAGTATTAAATTGAGGATATTTTAAATTTTTCATCAAATTGAGCAGACCAACTGCTGCAGACCACCACAAGCATCACAGATCTGGAGCAGACCACCACAGATCTGGAGCAGACCACCTGCTGCAGACCACCACAAGCATCACAGATCTGGAGCAGACCACCACAGATCTGGAGCAGACCACCTGCTGTAGACCACCACAAGCATCACAGATCTGGAGCAAACCACCACAGATCTGGAGCAGACCACCTGCTGCTCTGGAGCACACCACCAGAATTGATCTGGAGCACACCACCACAAGCATCCAGACAGATCTGATGCAGACCAGCAGAATTGCTCCAGATCAGTCCACCTTCATGACTGATGCAATACTTCACCATGCAGACCACCAAAGGAAGAGAAAAGAAGGAAACAAAAGAAATAGAGAGGAGCTAATTCAGAGCAGTTTTGGACCCCAAACGCCCCGGTTTTGCCTACTTTGTCACACTTTTATGTCCTACATAACTAATAATGCGTCCTATCGAAGCATTGCTTGCTTTCCCAAGTTTGTTTGATCTAGGCCGAGTTGACCACTACGATCTCGGGTTGTTTCCAGGCTGTTTCCAACTTTTTGCCACAACTGGCTCGTTTTTGCCTTCTCTATCACATTTTGGTTTCCATGGAACAGTCAAAAATTCTTGTTTAACTAGTCATCCATGGATCAGTGGAACATTACAATGTTTGAAGTTTCTATACTAGTCAACATAAACTAAACTGTAAATTCCATATTTTAAATATTGAACTAAAATTAGTTTAAAGACAATATTGAACTAAACTGTACATATCCAAACGTTTATTTGCCTTTACTTTGAACATAAATATAATCAAATATGGTTTAACACACTTACCAATTACCACTTACTTTGAATATAAATATAATGAAATATGGTTTAACACACTTACCAATTACCATGACTATCTATTGTCGAGAATTTGGTGGATTGCGATTTTCCAATACTTGCGCCAACATGCTCTGAAGTCCAAAAGCTGCCGCTGCATCTCCTCACGTTGTCTTGTATTCTCTGCCTCCTTCGTTTGTTGCTCCTGTTCTTTTTTTTGTTGCTCCTCAAAATTGCTCTGCTGCTCCGCACGCATTATCTCCAACTCGGATGTAAGCCTTTTCAATTGCTCGTCACGTGCTTGTGATGCAGCAGAGAACCCAGTATCACAAGAAGAAGGCTTTGGTCCAACCCCAAATCCTCTCAAGTATCCCTTCTTCTTACCAAGAACCATTATTGATATATCCTCTTGCCTCATCGGCGTTCCAGCCTCGATAGACTCATCCCGCACCCTTGTCATTTGCTCCTATAATTGTAAAATATAAATATTGTTAATATAAGACAAACACAAAAGTTGCATGTATAAGTGTCCAAATGATTGGAATACTTGCATGTAAATCACCGCATATAGGATCAATCCACTGTTTTGTCTTCTTGTGTTGATGAGTGTCCTTGTAGAAATTACAGAGATCTGGCAACAATCCACCATTTTCCTTCACCTGTGATATGCCAAACACCAACACACTTAAAAGGTGTGATCTAAATGTTTTTAATCACACTTAAAAGGTGTGATCTAAATGTTTTTAATCACACTTAAAAGGTGTGATCTAAATGTTTTTAATCACACTTAAAAGGTGTGATCTAAATGTTTTTAATCACACTTAAAAGGTGTGATCTAAATGTTTTTAATCACACTTAAAAGGTGTGATCTAAATGTTTTTAATCACACTTAAAAGGTGTGATCTAAATGTTTTTAATCACACTTAAAAGGTGTGATCTAAATGTTTTTAATCACACTTAAAAGGTGTGATCTAAATGTTTTTAATCACACTTAAAAGGTGTGATCTAAATGTTTTTAATCACACTTAAAAGGTGTGATCTAAATGTTTTTAATCACACTTAAAAGGTGTGATCTAAATGTTTTTAATCACACTTAAAAGGTGTGATCTAAATGTTTTTAATCACACTTAAAAGGTGTGATCTAAATGTTTTTAATCACACTTAAAAGGTGTGATCTAAATGTTTTTAATCACACTTAAAAGGTGTGATCTAAATGTTTTTAATCACACTTAAAAGGTGTGATCTAAATGTTTTTAATCACACTTAAAAGGTGTGATCTAAATGTTTTTAATCACACTTAAAAGGTGTGATCTAAATGTTTTTAATCACACTTAAAAGGTGTGATCTAAATGTTTTTAATCACACTTAAAAGGTGTGATCTAAATGTTTTTAATCACACTTAAAAGGTGTGATCTAAATGTTTTTAATCACACTTAAAAGGTGTGATCTAAATGTTTTTAATCACACTTAAAAGGTGTGATCTAAATGTTTTTAATCACACTTAAAAGGTGTGATCTAAATGTTTTTAATCACACTTAAAAGGTGTGATCTAAATGTTTTTAATCACACTTAAAAGGTGTGATCTAAATGTTTTTAATCACACTTAAAAGGTGTGATCTAAATGTTTTTAATCACACTTAAAAGGTGTGATCTAAATGTTTTTAATCACACTTAAAAGGTGTGATCTAAATGTTTTTAATCACACTTAAAAGGTGTGATCTAAATGTTTTTAATCACACTTAAAAGGTGTGATCTAAATGTTTTTAATCACACTTAAAAGGTGTGATCTAAATGTTTTTAATCACACTTAAAAGGTGTGATCTAAATGTTTTTAATCACACTTAAAAGGTGTGATCTAAATGTTTTTAATCACACTTAAAAGGTGTGATCTAAATGTTTTTAATCACACTTAAAAGGTGTGATCTAAATGTTTTTAATCACACTTAAAAGGTGTGATCTAAATGTTTTTAATCACACTTAAAAGGTGTGATCTAAATGTTTT